ATGGCTGGCCAAGAAAATCTATGACATACCGGACTATTTCTGTCAAGTAAATGCATGGCAGTTCATTCCGGGTGCAAACCTTAGTAAACGATTGCCAACGTCCCCTCAACCTTCCTCCAACCCAACGGATTCAGAGAAGTGGAGCATTTAAGTTTGATCAAGGAACGATATCATGAACCAAGCAGAACAGTGTGGCAAAATTCAGTGTGAAACAAGATACAATAAGCTTATCTGTCGTCAGAGGATGCAAAGTAAGCACTTAAAACGCAAAAGCAATCATGAATCCAAGAAACTTTTGATTTGAAAAAATGCAAAATTGGTGCTTAGATCGCTGTCTAACATCTTTTTTCAAAATTGCTCGCTTCTTTAAAGAGACTTCGACCTTCTTAACAATAAATAAACCTTTCCTGTACAGCTTTCATTAAAACATAATTTTATGGCAAAGCTTTCAGCTAATAAGGAAAAAAATGGTGGCATCATAAGGTAAAACGATTTTGACAGTTTTCTGCTTTTTGGAGATCGATGTCTAGTCTAGCAGAAGACCACTTACACTTCGTAACCCATTTGAGTTTCACTGTCAGTAAATTACCCTATTCAGTTCTTTCTTTAATGATAAACAAACTGAACAATTTACCTATCTCTTTGCAATCCACGTCGCCAACATTAACATGTCGATCTGATTTGAGGATGTCAGGCGAAGTATGATTTTCGCCAGTCATACAGGTTTCATCAGTGCATTTTTCTACAATAAAATAGCGATTTCAACATCATCACTGTCGGAATAAAACCCGAATGAGAATAGTGGATGGTTGCGGACCGATGCGCAGTCTCCCGTAAAACCTACCCACTATATTCTCATCATTCTGCCACAATCGAATGGTATACCGGCTCGATCGCCAGTCGAGTAAACAAACAGGGGGAACGTACTCTTATGGAACGAAGGCAGACAGCGAAAAGTCAGCGATAAGAACTGGCTTCATGTCTTTCGGCAGCTAGATGCGCAGCAGCTCGACAAGGCTCCAAAAACCTACACGAAGATGACAGTAAGCAACGGAGTCGCGACCTGTTCTGAACGGATGAGACAGACAGCATGAGGCCACTGTGG